TCCAAAAATTAGAGGTAATATATATTTAGTAGGTACCCTACAGTAGGCACCCAATAAATTGTGATGATATAACTGGTTTGCCTAGGAGATAGATATTAGTTCTTCCTTTTGATGCTAATGTTATAGAGATTCCACTGTACTTAACATAAAATGCATATTTGAATATAACTATTTACCTGTGGCTGTAGAGATTGGCTGAATACTGGATGTAAGGAAGTTGGTTTTCCAGCATCCTCCTTTCCTGCGAGTACCCTCTAAGTCTACTTCATGTCACTTGTGTTAGTCACTGCGATGGCATCTATCCCAGTGGTTGGGTTGTCCAGGCTTTCAAAGTTTCCCTATCCATGTACTCATTCTTTCCTCCCATTTCTTTCAAGACCAGTCAACAGATAAAGCAGGTAGATGGATAGTTGCTGGTTCTTTTCAAATTGGCAATAGAGCTACGTGCAAAAGCAAACTAGGAAGAACAGTATCGTTTAGGAAAATACTAATGAGTCAGGTTGAATTTTGCATTTCCAAACATAAAGCCAAGAGAAACCTGCATTTTGTATTAATAACAATTTGGCTTTTTCTTTTAGGAAAAGATTTTGCCGTCAAGAAGTCTCTCTTCTTCCCAAGTGCCCCTCCCTTACCTCCTCTGCAGTGAGATAACAATCCCCCATTTGCCACCTGTGACAAATGAGGTTTCCAGTATCATTTGAGGAGGGGAGATCTTAATCACAGAGACACAGGTCAATTCAGTAACCTATAATCATACAACAAGTACCTGGCAGGCAGTGTTTGAACATGGTAACAAATTGTTTTAAATAAACTTGAGCCAATGACCAAAAGAACATTAAGTAGTCATGATTAGCTATGATAAGAGATCCACTTCTACAAGATCACCAGGACAGGGAGGCAAGCACTGCAGAGATCCTGTACAGAGCCTCCTTGGTGCCTGCATAGTCCTTACCTGACAGTCAAAGTCCTGGAAGTTTCGTGTACCAGTCTGTCAACAGAAGGCAGAAAACACAGTCAGTTTCCTCACATGGTTTCCCAAAATGAGCAGCAAATTCAATTCACAGTGAAAGCAGTTCACGTTCAAGCCTCTTAGTTAGCATAGAACTAAAATGGTTCTCCATCGGTCGGAAGGCTTCAGAGGCAGGGCAGGTTACAAAGGTGAGTAAGTAAAGGCTGAATCTTCAGAGGTGAGATTATGTTTTGGTAGTCTTTACTGAGGACATAAAGGAAAGGAGCCTAGTTTCCCAGCAAGCTTGTAATTTCTTTCCTCCCTACCTAAGGAGTGCAGTGAGAACTTGTGGGAAGAGGGTAAAACATGGATCAGAACCTGAAAGCACAGCTTCGACACACGAGAGAAGTACCTGGGAGGAGAGAAGTTGGAGGCCAACTCTGAGAGGTGGAAGGAGAGTAGGAGCCAGGGTGCCCAGAACAGGAATTAAAGAAAGGATTGGGAAGAGGACAAAGCTATGGATGGATCAGAAATGGAAGCCTTGAAATCGAACAAAGAAAGGCAGTGTCACCGAAGGAGGGAAAGAAAGACAAAACAGGGTTCCTAATACACTGGCACATCTGTTGCATCCTATAAAATTGCTGATGGGCAAAAAGAACTGGTCACTGACTCATTTGAAAGTAGAATGCAGTCAAAAGATCCCAGGAGAATTCATCAAGCTTTTCTAAAGGGGGGTTTTTTTTTTGGGGTTGTTCCTTTAGGAAAAAAATAACCAATGGCAATGACTCAGAAGCATTTTTGTAGCATTTCAGATGCCACAGATGCAGGAGTGTGACATAAAAGTGTAAAAAGGATAAAAAGTGATGTATCTGGGAAGGAAACAAACTTCTGACTTGATTTTTCACAAAGTGTTAAGTCCCTCCCTGAAAACAACTTTCATTATTTAGAAACTGATTTATCATAACAATATTTATTCTGTCTCTATGACATCTTCCAGAAAGTTCCCAATGGCTTCCCAAAAGCTGTTCCTCCAGAGCAGCTCTAGATATCTGATCTAAAGGGAGTACAAAGTAGTCCCATCCCCCTTCAAGAATATCCTCTTAGAAACAGTTCTGGATCCCACCACCTACTCTGCTGGCAGGACAAAGCAAAAAGATTAAAAGCACAGCCCAGTCAGTGTGGTAGAAACACCTAAAGAAAGGAACTTGTCTACCCCATGAGGAGAACTAGCGGAACCTGCTGGGATGGTCTAGAGCTGCACTATCCAACAAGGTAGCCATTAGCTACATGAACAATCTAAATTGAAATTAATTACAATTAAAAATTCAGTTTCTCAGTCACATTAGCCCCATCTCAAATGCTTACATTATTGGGCAGAGCAGATACAGAACACTTCCATTACTGCAGAAACTCTGCCTGCACAGCACTGATCTAGACACCAGAAGCTTCTGAAAGTAATAAGGTTATAGGTGAGCAGCCCTTGTCTTTCTAAAGGTGGCCTTAAAGTCACAATAGATTACCAACCAGAGAGACAGACTGCAGATGCCACTGAGTACAGGCAAGACAGTGGTGGAGACAGCTAGCCTGATGTATTATTCCTGACAAGAAACTGAGCTCACAAAAATAAAGTCTGATGTAGTCACAGCATGGAAAGACAATTAAGACACTGTGCAGATGGGACTAGGTAGCACATTTCCAAGGAATGTTGCTAGTGATAAAAAGGATCATAATGCTCCATGGCTCCCACTAGCCTCGTGAGATATCTAAGAACATCTTCAGAGAAGTCACTGGTGTTTAATTTCCAGGTGGCCAGTGAGCTTCTGGTTCCTGATTCAACTTGCACCTTTCTCCAAATATAGCATAGGGCCTGGTATAATTCAGGTGCTTAATATAGATTTATAAAATGAATAAGCCAATATAAACAATTAAATGTTGAGAGATTTTTGTTAAGACTTTGTGTCAAAACCAAAAAACTCTACAGCATTCCAGTTTAAGATGTGATATGTTTATTAAGTGGAGGAACAAAAGTAGGATACTGAATGGTCTTTACAGTTTGACCTTGACTACATTAAAATATGCATTAAAAAGACTTAGAAGAAAAATACTAAAACATTAGCAATAGCAGCTACTTCTGCATAGAGAAATTATGGGTGATTATAATTTTCTCTGTATTCTTCTACAATGAACATATGCTTCCCCTTCTGTAATTAGAAAACTAGAAAAAAGGATTTGGTATAGTATGTACAACTTAGGATTTTGTAATGTAAGATTTAAAGACTGGTTTAATCTTTTGAGGAATGATTTATAACGATGTCCAAATAGACCATATTAGGGCTTTGATCTAATAGGCTTCTCAGAGGTTCCTTTAGAGATTATTTAGAAAGATTAGTGAAAGTTACTCTAGTCTGAACTAAAATCTTAGTTACAGAATGCAGACCCACAGATTCTGATGAGCTCTTTGGCTAGTAGCTTTCACTGTATACATGAATTCCTCTTCCTCACAATCATGTGATCACAGCCATGAGGCATTTTGTGAGGCTTTCAGCCTCTGAGTTGAGCACAAAGGGAAATGCCAAAAGCGGAAAGAGGCGATTCCTTCAAAAACTCAAGCTATCTCTTGTTTGTTGAGTACCTGGCAAAAAACAACTACGTATCCTTAATCCAGTGTACCTAGCTATACTCCCAGATAAAAGATACTAATAACTGAAGGAAGACTATTTAACATTTGTTTCCTTAGCCTTTTTTTTTTTTTTAAAGAGATGCCAGCCCCTCTTTGAGAATGGCTTCTGGCTTCATGAGTGATCACCCTGGAAAATCGATACAATTGGGTATGTCTGACAGGGTTTGGCATCCAGAGTTTCTGAATGGAGATACTTAGTTGGTACCTGATTTGACTGTGGTTAACTCAGGCCACCTTCTCTGTACTTATCAAAAGTTCCTTACTACTCATTGGTGCATTCTAGAAGGCTGAGGACTTCCTGGCGCCCTTTCCTAGAGATTTGTTTGTCTCTGATGTTCACAGAACAGGGTTCCACTCTAAAAAAACTTCTAGAAATTTCAAGCTGTTGGTTGGGCACCGTGGCTCACGCCTGTAATGCTAGCATTCTGGGAGGCCCAGGCAGGAGGATCGCGGGAGCTCAGGAGTTCAAGACCAGCCTGAGCAAGATTGAGACCCTGTCTCTACTAAAGATAGAAAGAAGTTAGCCAGACAACTAAAAATATATAGAAAAAATTAGCCAGGCATGGTGGTGCATGCCTATAGTCCCAGCTACTTGGGAGGCTTAGGCAGTAGAATTGCTTCAGCCCAGGAGTTTGAGGTTGCTGTGAGCTAGGCTGACGCCACGGCACTCCAGCATGGGCAACAGAGCAAGACTCTGTCTCAAAAAAAAAAAAAAAAAAAAAAAATTTCAAGCTGTGATTGCTTTTTTTTTTTTTTCTGTCCTTTTTAAGGATGACATTAATTTCATATTCAGAGAAATTCTTACCCTAAGCAGACTTAAGCAGCAGAAAGGGATTCAAGGAAAAATTAAAACAATAGAATAATTAGGAGAAAGAGCAAAATAAATAAATCAAGGAAAAAGGTCAATTATTACTGAAAGTTACAGTCAAAGCAGAAGCCAGCTAAGGAGAGAGTTTTCTGGTGGAGCCTCAGGGCCAAATGTAGAAGTTAAATGAGGCAGCTGAAGATATATTAAAAGCAAGTAATTCTCATAATTATAAGCCTAGGGAATAATCAAAAAGCAACTAAGAACAGGTCAATGAGTAAAGAGAAGTATGAAAAAAAAAAAAAAAGGGCTGGGTACAGTGGCTCATCCTTGTAATCCCAGTACTTTGGGAGGTGGGATAATTGCTTGAGCCCAGGAGTTTTAGATCAGCCTGAGCAACATAGTGAGACCCCGTCTCTACAAAAAGTTTTTAAAAAATTAGCCAGGTGTGGTGGGGCACACCTATAGTCCTAGTTACTTGGGAGGCTGAGGTGAGAGGATCACTTGAGCCCAGGAGTTCGAGGTTACAGTAAGCTATGATCATGCCACTATACTCCAGCCTGGGTGACTGAGTGAGGCCCTGTCTATTTAAAAAAAACCCAAAAACAACCAGAAGAAGAAGAGGAAAGAAAAGGCGAAAGGGAGAAAAGTTTCAAAAAGAAGTAATTGCTAGGGAGAAGAGAGATGTAGTTTCCCAACACAACATCTACTCAAGAGGCACACATATTAGTTTCCAAAGACAGAAGACAACAGACATAAAGAAAGATGAGACATGTAAGACCTTAGACCAACTACCAATAGGAAGAGATGTGGGGCAAATCTACCTGTTCTGTGAACCGAAGCAGGGGTCTGTAAGCCGTGGTCCGATTCACCACTCTATTCCCAATCCTGACACTTGGTGAATGCAATAAACATTATTCTGTAGAGGTCATGAACATCTCAAAATAGAGATACTTGATTTGAGTAAGAAATGAATATCAAAGAATAATGGTTACATGTAATTGATGTGCTAGAAACTAGAGCAGGGAGAACGAGTTGTTACAACAGGAAAGATTTTAGAAATATGCTGATTTTAAAAAAAAAACTGTCAAAGAGAATAAAATACAGCATTTCTATTAAAAAAAGACAATAATCCTTCCCAAGAGAAAGTGGAAAGAGGGGGCATTGCACAATCAAAAGAGATAGATAAGCCCAGAAAATACCCAGTTTTTCTTTAATAATAAAAATTAATATAAAAAATTAGTATAAATTAATAAATCAACATTTTACAGTCTTCAGCAAACAACTTTCAAGTAGAAATCTGTTCAAGCTGATAATCCAGAGATGATAGTGAAAATTCTATATATATACACACATGTGTATTTTAAATGTCTACATCAATAAGTACCTGAAAAAAATACCAATTAAGAAACTGAGACTTCATAAAGAAATTTATAAAGAGGTCAGATCCTTAGCTAAAACTATCTACAATCAGATAATCACCTGTAGACTGCTGAAAAAGTACCATTTTGACTCTAAAATATACCTCTGCTAACATGCTATTAAGCTAATGTTACATGTCACTGACCCTCTGCATTAAAAATTCTGTGGGCACCTTGCTAAGTAGTGGCAAAGGCCTGAGATCTCCTGCTGCCTCTTGTAACTGGTTGAGAGTTATCTGGTCTGTCACAGTGGCATCACTACTTGCTTCGGAACTCATTTTCCTGCTCCAGTCCTATCGAGGGCGTTTCTGACAACAGATGTGGCAATCTCACCTCTCAGCACATTAAGGGACATTCACCCTCTAGTCCACACTAGATGTAGCACATCACGAATATTATTTGATGAAAATGTCAATAAATCTATTTTTAATTGCAGCTACTGCTGCTTCTTTTTTTTTTTTTTTAAGCAACCATGGCACAAACCCTTTCCCTATCTCTGCTGTCCTGAAAGTTACAAAAACGTTGATCCTTGGGTTCCTCCTCCTTCAGGTCTAACATTCTCCTCCCTCCCCTGCTACGTGTCTAGTCATTAATAGAAAGGGAAAACTTAAATTGCAGTAGGGTTTACTTCACTTGCTACTGCAACAACCAAAGCAAAGTAAATAACTTATTTCTGTTCTCCCCACTAAATACTTATTCCCCTTCTTAATATTCCTCAATTCTTCAGAAGCCAGTTGTGGCCTCCTACTTGTTTTCTCAAGCCTGGCTTTTGGCTTTCACCAGGTTTGGTAGTATCTGAACCAATAGTAGGTGGAGGAAGGCAGAAAATAAAACAAAACAGTAAGCTCTCCTGTTCATTACTAGGTCTGATGCGTGAGGAGGTTGGAATGACCTGCTACATGAGGCAGCAGATGGTGGGAAGAGCCCTACACCCCCAGATCTAGGTCAAAGTCCAAAGATGTAGGTTCTAGTCCTGGCTTTACCACCTTAATAAACATTAGCTTTGGACAAGTCACATAACCTCTCAGCATCATTTGTAAAATGGAATTAAAATATCTTCAACTACTTACTTTACAATAAGAGATTTAAAAATAATATTTATGAAAATGGTTAAATGCTATTAAAAAATTCATTTCATATGCCTATGCAATTTCTGCCCCCCAAAACAAAGATAAGTATGGGTGGTTGCTTCTTTTCATTACCGGAGCCAAAACAAGCATAGCAAAATTATCCACTCCTTGACAATTCTGAGCCATAGATAAATTTACAGGCACACTAAAATAAAATGGGAAAAGTACCAACAAATGACAAGAGACAAGTTAACATAAGCCTTGCTTAAAGCTATATTGAGAATGCTTCCTCACAGTCATCTCAGGATAAATTTCTCCATAAAAGGTTGGGTCTAGACTTTCTTTAGTTCCCTAAAACCTAGAAGGGTACAGCATTATCTTTGGCAAAGAGTATATTTATGAGGAGAATGGAGAGAACGATGAGCTGAAATAATACACATCTCTAGCCTTCTCCTTTAACGAGGCAGGGTAAGCTACAGAGGTGATACCAGAACATTTACGGGGTCAACATAGTGGGGAGGGCTCAAGTTTTAGAGTAGGAAAGACTTAGGTTTCAGTCCCGATTTTGCCACTTATTGGTGGTGCTTAAGTTAATGAGAGACAATATATAATCTACCTCAAAGGCATAGTCTGAGAACTAGAGAGAATGTATGTAAAGCACCTAGCACATAAAAGGTGCTTAATAAATAAGAGCACGGTAGGCAACAAAAAATCCCTTAAGACATCTAGGTCCTATTCAAATATAAAGGCTTTTCCCCCCCTATACCAGTGGTTCTAAACCAAAGCAACTCTGCCTCCCAGGGGACATTTGGCAATGTACGGAGACATTTTTGGATGTCACCACTTGGAGGTGCTATTGGCATCTGGTGGGTAGATGCTGCTAAACATCCTACAGTGCACAGAATAGTGTCACACAGCAAACAATTATCTGGTCCAAAACATCAACAGTGCCAAGATTAAGAAATCCTGCCATATAGCAAGTATTCTTTGGTATTCAATATGAGTAAGCTACTTCACCTTTCACAGCCTTAGTTTACTCATCAGCAATATGGGAATACATTTATCAAGCTATTGGGAGGATCAAGTGAAATAATGGATGACAGGCATTATCATCATTAGACCTTTTACAAATAAATAAAAGCACCCACCTTCTGGGCAAAGACAGAGCATTCACATACTGAGGAGGGAGGGAGGCTAATGGGGGTGGAATTCTTTTTCTGCCACCATCGAAAGAGGGCCTCTTGCCTATCTACCTGCTTAACTGGGACAAGGGAGTTCTCATGAACAGTGATGGGACAGGGGCACTTCTCAGGGAGAGAGAGGAGAAAGATGGAGCATGGGAAGGAACAGCACAGGCATATCAAAGAGGAACTGACAGATGTTAGGAAGTGAGACATTGTATGGTGTCTTAGTCCACTTGGGCTGCCGGAAACAAAATAACATAGACTAGATGGCTTGAAACAACATTAATGTATTTTCTCACAGTTCTGGAGGCTAGACAGTTCAAGACCAAAGTTCTGACAGGGTTCACTTTCTGATAAGGGCTCTCTTCCTTATTTGCAGACAGCTGCCTTCTGTCTGTGTCCTTGCATGGCAGGGAGAGTAGGGGAGAAAAGGGGGAGAGAGACAGAGAGAGAGAGAGAGAGAGAGATATCTCTTCCTCTTCTTAAAAGACCATCAATCCTATCAGCTTAGGGCTCTATCCTTATGACTTTATTTAACTTTAGTCACTTCCACAAAGGCCCTATCTCCAATAAAGTCGCATGGCGAGGCTAGGGGTTCAACAAACTTTGGGGGGACACCAGTGCAGTTCATAGTATTCAGGCACGCATCAGATACAGCTAAAGCATTCCTGTGGACTCAGAGAGGAGGCTCAGACATTAATTCAATACTTTTCTATGAGTACATCCACTAAATCTTTCCTTTTCCAGCTATCTTCTCTATGAGATGTTCATTCAATTAATTCCTGCAATTCTTTGATTTAGGTGCCTCCTCAGCTATCCTATGGACTTCCAGGGTCAGGGAAGGATCTTCCTCTTATTTAGAAGGCAGCTATGCTCACCACTATACCACCAACACTCTTACTCTTATTTGTACTCCAGTCCTCAAATATCTGAGACCCATCAGGTAATGGGTTTCCAAACTGGCTAATCAGAATCACTTTAGGCACAGTTCCAATTTGGAGAGCTTTTAAAAAAGCTCAACCACACCCCAGACCAATTCAGTCAGGTATCAGTAACGAGGTAGGACCCAGGCATCAGTAATTCTTAAATCTCTCCTGGTAATTCCAATAAGAAGCCAAAGTTGAGAACCACTGGTCACAGAGGGGGTGTGTGTCCTGCCTCCCCCTCCGCCTCCAGATTCCAATTTAGTTGGTCTAGAGTAGGATCCAGGAATCTGTATTTTTAAACAATTCCCAAGCTGACTCTGATGATCAGCCAGGTTTAGGATAGGTTACTGCCTATCCAAAGCTAAACTGCTTACTCCCACCTGCCTTGTTTATTCATTTCTGTGGCTATATGTAAGCTTTATAGATGTAGATTTCATTTCCTTCCTCCTCTTCAAGGCACATCATTTTGGGGACAGTCCTTCACGTACTTAAAGGAGAAAGTTTTCTGGGAACACGAGGGGAAGCAGCAGGAGAAATCAAATGGGATTAAAGAGCGTGCAGCTTGTCAAGGGAGAGGGCAAGAAGTCTGGTGAAAAGTAAAGGAAGGGGTAGGAGTGAGGATGGAGAGAAGAGGTCACAGGGATGAAAATGGGGCTGGCAAGATTCAACAGCAAATTAGTAAACACATAATAAGTCAGCAGCCCTGGAAGTTGTAGGTGAAGGGCTTTGCTTTGGGCAGAACAAGATAATAAACAACAGCATCTTCTGGTGTCACCCCAGTCCCCAACCTCACCCATCTTTATCCTTACTCTCCGTCAACACTCCCTCAGGAAAGGATGCCAAGGATTCATTCACACCAAGCTACGAGAGTATTTCCATAGGGGATGATGACAACAAACCAAAAGAACAGGGTGGAAAAGAAGGAATTTCAGGCAGATTTACTGAACAGAGAGGGACAAGAGAGAAGATAAGCCTTTCTTAACGTTCTGGTAACTCATATTACACCCTTCTTCACTTGCTGAGTCCTGGTGGCTATCAACCATACTGCTCATCATGTAGTTCTCTAACACTAACATAAAAATGAGGTATGTTACTGACATCCAGGCACCTCTGCTGCAAACTGTGATGTTGACAGAAAGGTCACATCACAGACTTGACGAACTTTAGGAGAGCATTGCAGCCTATGTACATTACCAGCCATGGGTGTTAAATTTCCTTATAGAAATTGAAGCCAAGACATTTGGATTCTAAGCCAGACCCTACCCTCATACTTTCCACTTAAATTTGCCATATTATTTTTTTCCCCTTAACATTTCTATCTGTAAAATAGGAAAATCTCAAATATAACTTCACTGAATTTGGCCTGTGGAAACAGAAAAAAAAAAAGTAGGAAGAAAAGGGAAGGAAGACATCAAAAAGAGGGTTAAGAAAAATATTTTTAGAAGTATTCCCTCCATTGAAAGTCAAGCTAAATATGTTGAGTTAGTCACTATTCAGATGATACAGAAAATGAACTAATATCAGAAGAAAAGACTTGTATATATTTTAGCGAACACAGAGTAGTCTTTACCTTATCATTTAGAAGTGGTTTGATCTCTGTGAGTTGAACATCCTGAAGTTCATCCATGAGGACAGATGAGAACAGGGGAGTCTCAAGAATAAATCAGTAACTGAAACAGAAGAGAAGTGAAAAAAAAGGCTTAAGCCAGGAGTTGGAAACGTAATAGTCACACTGTATCCATACATTCAAATATTAGCGCTTACTATGCATCACACACTGCTGGGGGAGGCGGGGATGAAGAGACATGGTTACGGCAGACAGAAGCATAATTCCCCCACCCCTCACTGAGTGTGGGTAGGACCTATGGCTTGCTTTTAACCAATAGAATATGGCAAAAGTGATACAGAATGGCTGTGAGTACCTGTGTGTGATTACATTACATAATATTTTAACATCTGTCTTGCTGAGAGACACTCTCTCCTCTGCTAGCTTTGAAGAAGCGAGCTGAAGTATTATGGGAGGGCCACATGGTAAGGAACTGAGAGCAGCCTCCAGCTGAAAGACAGCAAGACACGGAGACCCTCAGTCCAACAATCTGCAAGGAAAGGAATGCTGCCCACAACCACGGGAGCCTGGAGGCAGATCCTTCCCCAGTTGAGTCTCGGATGACAAGCAAGCCCTGACCAACAGCTTGATTGCAGCCTTGCAGAAGACCCATGCAACCTTTGCCAGACTCCTGACCCATGGAAACTACGAGATAATAAATGGGTGTTGTTTCAGGACACTAAGTTTGTGATAATATTTTTATGCAGCAACAAATAATTAATACAATAGTCTTCACCCTCATGAAGTGTACATTTTAGTTACCGGAATGGATAATAAGGAAATAACATGCTCAGAGTTATGCTTCAGGAAGCAATAGTTTGGAGGATGGATTTAGGGGGATAAAAATTGAAGGTTAATGCTGTAGGATAAGGCCCTGGATTAGGGATAGGAATGAAGAGGAAGATCAACCAAGGCTAAGCTCACTATCTTCATTTGGGGAATCACAGCAGTTGATGGAGTATGAGTGAGAGTCAACCTCCAAGATGGCCTCCAATGAGCCCAGTGATCCTTCACTCCCGATATTCACACTCATGTATAATCCCCTACCCAAATAAATCAGGGATGGCCTGCGTAACTAATAGAATATGGCAGAAGTTACAATATGTGACTTCTGAAGCTACATCATAAAAGGCATCATAGTTTCTGCTCCAAGGCACTATAGTCTAAACCACTAGCTCTGGGAGAAGCTAGTCACCTTATCATGAGGATACTCAAACAGGCCTATGGAGAGGCCCATGTGGAAAGGAACCAACTTGCCAGTACCAACCCTGCCAGCCATGTGAGTCAGTCACTTTGCAAATGAATCCTCCAGCCCCAGTCAAGAGTTTAGATGACTACAGCCCCAGAGACATCTAATTACAACCATGTGAGAGACTCTAAGTCAGAACCGCCCTACCAAGCCTACTCCCAAGTTCCTAACCAACAGAAACCATCAGCGATAATAAATAATTTTGTTTTGAAGTGATCTGTTACATAGCAATAGATTACTAATACAGAGAGGGAGCAGAATGGGGAGTTCAGAGAAAGGAGGGAAGTTGGAGGGAGAGAGGGTAATGAACCATAAATCCTTTCTCCATCCCACTCTGCAAGAAGCCATGGGGATAGGCTGCAAACACTCAACACTGCAGGCAAGTGATTCCCACCCAGACTTCAAAGTTCCAGGCTTCATCCCTTCTGCCTTGGCCCTACCCCCACCCAGTCAGGAAAGTGCTAATTCAATGAGTTGGGAATTTACATTCAACAACCATTTATTGAGTACCCAGCAAAGCACTATGGAAGATACAAAAAGGTCCCTGCCTTCCAGGAGCTTACTAAAGAGTAGAGATGACAGCAATCTAGTCTACTACATTAATCCACTTTTCTATTTACCCTCTAGAGATAAGATGGCATGATTTTGATTTAATTATCCATGAAGAGGACATGTGTTTCAGGCTATCTTTTAGCTATTACTGACCAATGCACTAAAATAAACCATGCTCCTAGCTATGCCAAAATTAGGGCAGACTAACAAAAGCCCTTTTATCATTCCTTCAAGGGATCCAGGGGATGCCAACTGGGAACACCCCTCAGACTATGGATCCCACATGCCAATTGTGAGCATTTCAAAAATGTGAGCCACCCCAAGAGCACAAGCCTGATAATATACAACCTCCCTACAGGACAGTAGTTCTTTTCTGAGATTCCAGGTGCCCTATAAACTTGATTGAGCTACCAGATGCCCAGAAGTTGAAATTTTATTTTATTTTGTTTTTATACCAGTCACATTTCAAAAAGGGATAAGGTGGCTTGAATCTTACATAGCAAATTTCAGCCAGCATCTACAATTCTCTCTTTCATAGTCCCCACATAACTCTCAAAATATTGGCCTAACAGGCATCTACTCCTTGTATGTTTATTAATCATATATAAACTGTGGCTATTTTTCATTTGGACTTTACTATATATCAGTTATTTTAAATGGCAATTTTAAAGTTTTTTCCCCTATTACAAAAGCAGTATGTGCTCACTTTAGAAAATGTGTAAATCGCAAAATAATGAAAAGATATTTCACTCATAGTCTTTTCATCTAAAGATAACCATTTTAGTCTACTTCCATTTGTTCTCTTTTTCCACATAAAGTGGTGATTTCCTGAAACTGTTTTTCCAGCCCACCTATTTTACTCCCTACTTTAATTCACTCACTGGAAAGCAGGGCACTTCAAGATGTTAATTATTCAAATGTGGGTGGGTCTGTCAAGGGGCCCAAGGAAAGCCTAAAGGTGCCCTCGGGTCCAAAGTGACCAGCATTCACCTAGTGTTCCCATGTATTTTCTAAAGATGAAGAAAAATGCAGTGCTTGTGCCAGCGAACACTTAAACAAGAACACAAATTAAATGAGAAGTCTGTCCCTCCCAGCTAGGCCTAGTGCAGACTCAAGCCGATAATGCTATGCAGAACAGTACGCTACTCCAGTGTGACTTAGGAATTGGCGACAAGACAGTAGACATTCACCTTCCACATATTAGAGGACCTAATGCATTCTTCTAGAAACTCAATTTTTGCTCAATTCTTACTGTCTCGAACCCTTGCCAATGGGTAGTGTTATAACATCTATAAGAAAGCAAAGGTCACATGGTGGAAAACTCCATCTCTAGATCCCTCGGCTGCATAGACTGGCTCCCTCCTGGGGATCGAAGGCCTGCAGTTTTGGCATCTGCACAAATGGCATGGCTGCCAGATCCCATCCTGGTACTAAGAGCTATTAATATTTTCAAAAGGCTAGTAGGGATTTTATAAACTGCAGTAGAGAATTTTTACCTCTTTCCTGGTCTTATGAGGAAGAGGAAGGACTGACAAGTAAAAACCAGCCATCCTCAAGTTAAGGAAGTGAGTCTGATACTAAATGGCTGGAAAGGGGACGAGGAAAAGGTGGGCATCGACTGTGCCAGGAATTATAACCTAAGCACCTCATGTTTAATCCTCATAACAATCTTCTCTGGTAGATATCTTCGCTTCTTACTTTATAGATGAGAAGTTTAGGCTCAGAGAAGTTAAGAAACTTTTCTGAAATTCTATATTTAAATAAGTATTATCATAGGAAAGTGGGCACAGTGGGACTAAAGTTCTAGCTACTCAGGAGACTGAGGTGGAGGATCACTTGAGCCCAGGAATTTAAGTCCAGCCTGAGCAACATAGCAAGGCCTCATCTCTAAAGAAAATAATAATAAAAAATAAATAAATCATAGGGCAAGGATTTAAAAACCTTTGCTTTTCCCATTACAGGTTGAGCATTCCAAATCCAAAAATCTGAAATCTGAAATGATCCAGTGAACATTTCCTATGATCGTCACATTGGCGCTCAAAAGGTTTTGGATTTTGAAGCATTTTGGATTTTGGAATTTCAGATTTGGGAAGCTTAATCAGTAAATATAATGCAAATATTCCAAAATCAGAAAAAATCTGACATTTGAAACACTTCTGGTGCCATGCATTTCGCCTAAGGGATGTTCAACCTGTGTACCATAATGCCTATGCCAGGCCCCACCAACTGGTTGTTGGACCCTGGTCAAGTTCCTTCCTCTTTACCCACACTGTGGCACCTCCTAGAGGTAATAGGAGCCAAAAGCAATCCTATACATACCAAAAATGACTCAGACATCTTAGAAGTGAAGGTGTGAGTCATCACACTAGGACAAGAACTCTCAATGTCTCAGTAGTTAGCTAAGGGCATGATGAACACAGAATGAGTAGAGAAAAAAGAAACTTGGTAACCAATTTCAGAAGCAAGAGCTTGCTTGTTATTAGAACAGCATGCCTCAAACTCTGTCACCTAGGGATGTCGTTTAGGATCTCAGACATAATCAGTTTTGAGTGATTACAGTCTGACATGTGACCTCATCAGTGAAGAGTGGAGATTATCTGAGTTGAGGAGATAAAGAACTGAAAACGCTTGATTATTAGCAACAGTCTTTAATAAAGACAGTGAGGATGGGGTAGAGAAAGACTCAATTAATTTTATTTCATCCTGCCTTCTTCCAAAAAGAATTTCAGTAAACTAGATGGGATTTTTAAAAGACTCAACAGGCCAGATCAACTAGAAGGGGAACATACTAGAGAAACAGAACAATTTGCAGAAACCTAGCTGAAAGGTGATAAAAGTCTGTCGGGCTACTGGAATTATGAAAAGGAAAGAAAAAGAGAGACCTTGGGATATAAAACTGGTAAAAATAGTATGAAGTCAGAGAAGAGTCAGATTTTGCCAATGTTTCTGGTTAGGGAGATAGAAGAATGATGGCGCAATGAATGGAAATGAGTGAGCTGAGAAAGGGTAACAGTGAAGTTGATTTTAAAAACAAACATAAAAACCCAACACAACAATTCGAGTCAGGAATCCAAGAGTGACCCGAGCACAGGTAGGTGTGAGAATTAGTGAGGCAAATCTGTAGGCGATCACCAAACCAGTGATGAGGAACAGCTCTCCTGAAGGACAACTCAGTGATAGAAGAAAAAGAACCAGTAAGAGACAAAGAAAAAACGTTCAGAGTTGCTACAGGAAAAGCAGAAATACAATGTCAAAGAAGTCAA